TTAATATGCTATTAAAGCACATCATATTAAGCAGTATAATTCAAAATTTTACCCATTTTAAAATAGTTTTGCTTTAAAGGAGACATAGCATAGATTCAGATAGTGGAGAATAAAATGAAGAATAAAGCATTAAAATTCTAGATGGCAATAATTCCATGTAGTCCATGAATAATCTCTGTCTGCAAACTCTGAAACATGGGTGGTCAGTTAGCTCAGTTGGTTAGAACACAGTGCTCATAACACCAAGATTGCCGGTTCGATCCCCACATGGGTCGCTGAGTTGCGCCCTCCACAACTAGATTGAAAACAACTATTTGACTTGGAGCTGATGGGTCCTGGAAAAACACATTGATCCCCAATAAAAAATAATAAAAAAATAAAAAATTAAAAAACAAACAAACCCTGAAACATGTAAGAAGCAAAGGAATTAAATGTATTTTATGCTAATAATATAGTAAATGAGAGTGGCTAAAAGGAATCAAATAAAGACATAGAAGGTGGATTTTGTCTTACTCTTGTACTCCAGTCTCAGAAAAGGAATGTAGATAAACTAAATTTAAAAGGCTTTAAAATGATTCCATAACAAGATGTATTAGGTCATGACTCTGTGTTACCCAAAGATAGCATATAAATAAAATCATAGGCTCTCAAAAAGCAAATGAAAAACCCCTTGCTGGACCTTGTGTTGGAGACTTTGGGCCATTGGACGACAGGATTAGGTCATCATGTTTTGCAAATGCTTCACAATACACTACTGAGTATTTCATCACTGTGATCAATAAAGCTTTGTGGACTGACCTTGCAGATCAAGAAATGGAAATGAAGAGGTAAGTCTATAAAAGACAGAAAGGTATAGGATAGGAGTACTCAACCTTTTAATTTATTTGTTTTTCACATTTCTCTTGATCCAGGGAGAGGATGGCCTACTAATTCTTATGAGCAATACCTAGCATGCTAATTATATATCTTAACAATCTTTCCATTCATGAAAATATTTGGAGACAAATATATGTGTTTCAATTATAGAAGTAGCCAAATATTTTACTTTTTAAATAAAAGAATGGCAGACCTATATAGACTGCTTATAAAGTCTAGAAATGTAGACAATATACAGAATGCCATCAAGGACATCTTCAATTTGTAAATAATAATAAAATAATATTATCTGTTTTTCAAACTTTTGGGCCACCTTGAAGATTAATATGAAACACTCTTCAAGATAGAGTATTAATTGGAGGGAAAAGCAAAGAGCAAAAAATATGTAGTTTATTATTACATTTATGCAATTTACATAAATTTGACTTATGTAAATAAAATGCACAATTCTATCAATACAAAATTACCTCATATAAGGTAATATGGTGGTGCAGGTGACAGAGAGGATTGAAAAGGCAAGAGATGATTTTGTTTTGACTCTCTTGTTTAAAATGTTTTCAGTGAGAACATAATCAGAGAGCACAACTTTAATATTTTAATTCTGGTCGGTAACAAATCACTTGCAAAACACTTTGACACTTCCCTATGCTCCAGGCTCCTCATCCATAAAATGACAATTTCTGAGGTTCTGTTTAACTTTATTATTTCAATTATTTATCCAATGATGAGAAGTTAGGTGGCACAAATTAACCCAGTGGGCAGATGCTGGCTGTTAGAGCTCCATTTCATGATTATATGAAGTGATGCAATGTTTCCAACAGGAGTGGCAAGACTCTTTAACAATGCGTCTATACAAAGCTCTTCCTTTTATAAAGTCTTACAATAGAAGGTTCCCAACTGGCTGGTTAAAGGACCCAATGGGAAGGGTGTGTGTGTGTGTGTGTGTGTGTGTGTGTGTGTGTGCGCGCGCGCACGCGTGCGCGTGCTTATGCACTGTGCTGCAGCTGTGCCATCTAGCATCTAACCTGGAACTTGGACTCAAATCTCTATGAGAGTCACAGTGGGGCAAATGCATACAGATTGGCAATAAGGTGGCATTGCCTAGGAAGTAATTAATCAAAAAGGTGGAGCCAAGGTATAGACCCTAAGTGAGGACTGCGACAATCACTTAACTCAGGAGAGAGGGACTCCCACAGAGCCTCCCTGCCTTGCCCCTGCTGTCAACTCCTGGGAACTCCTGGCAGAGGTTGCTAGAAGTGGCATCCCCTGACTTTGGCCCCAGAAGTCTAAAGGTGGGTGGTAAGGACCTTGAGTGGAGGAGGTGCACACGTTTCAGGTTAGCAGAGGCCTTGTAAGGCCCATGTCAGACACCGTAGAGTGGGGACTGACGACACCCCGCATTCTAGAACAGAGGGAGCTCCAAGAGTTCCACCACCATTGTTGGCAGTGAGAAGCTCCAGGACTACACTCAGACAGAGGATCCCGCTGACTCCCGCCTCGTGGGAGTCTGACAGTGGTAAGGGCCTTGGTATATGGGTCACAAACTCAGTTCTGTGGAGGGAGGGAGTCCTTGGCACTGCCGGGATTCTGGGTGAAGACCCTGAATGGAGTTAAATACCCTATAATACATGCAGCCCACAGAACCTTAGTCCTGCTCTTGGCCTGGGAGGACCTGGTCACCATAGGGAGTTGGGGGCGGAAGAGATGGGGAGTAGGAGAGGAAGGGACCTCCCCTCACTTCCGCTTTCAGAGTATCTTTGGTGAAGGCCTGTACAGAAACGCGTGGCTTCGGTCAGCAGAAGGAGGCATCCTCAGACTGGTCAAGTACCAAAGTGAGGACATTGAATGAGGGAACCAATAATCCCAGAATAGAGGAAGTCCACGGAGTAAAGTCCTGTCCTTTTTGTCATCCCGGGGAGCCCCTGCAATAACTGTCAGACTCAGGCGCTATTAACGACTTGGACCTCAGGAATCCGAGGGTGGTTGAGGACCCCTGTGTGAGGGGCGTGGCCACAGTAAGCAGAGGGAGGAGGCCGCTGCGCCTTGAGTTTCAAGATAAGATATTGAATAGGGAATGATACCACCACCACAGAACAGAGGGGATTCCACAGTAAAAAGCCCAGCCTCTGCTCCAGCCTTGACCTGACTTCCACATGGAGTTTACCAGGAGGTGAGGCCTGTTCTGAGGATTGCTGCCTCAGGTGAGCAGAGTGTAGGATCCCAGACCCTGCCAGACTCAAGATAAGACGCTGGTGAGGACTGAGGGACTTCTCCTCCAGAATGGAGGGGCCCGGCCCCTCAGACCTCTGCTGTCAGTCCTGGGTGAATGGGATGAGGGCATGGCTGCGTCACTTCCCCTGACTTTTGCTTTAGGAGTCTCAGAGAGGTAAAGGCCTTGGCCTGAGGGGTGCAGCCTCCAGTCAGCAGACAGAGGAGTCCCAGCCTCTACCAGAGCCAAGGTAAGATGCTGAGTGAATATTTAGGGAACATCCACTCCACTGGAAGGAGCACTATAAAGTCCCACCCTTGTTGTCACCCGTAGGAAGTGCTGGGCAGAGTAGCTGGGACTGACATCCACTGAGTCTTCCTGGAGAATCTCAGGATGGTGAGTACTTTGTTCTCAGGGAGCAGGCCTCAGTGCAGCAGAGGGAGGAATGGCAGGCCCTGCCAACGCTCAGCATAAGACTCTGAGTGGACACTAACAGGACCACCCACCTCACAGCAGAGGGAACCCGTAGATAAGGCCGGGTCCCTGCTGTCAGCTCTTGGAGGTCTTGGAATACCTCTCAGATTGAGCTGCCCCTGACTTCTACCCATTGTTTGCAGTGAGGTGAGGTCCAACCGAGGATTGCTGCCTCAGGTGAATAGAGGGAGGAGTCCAGACCCAGCCAGGAGTCAAGGTAAGGAGTCCAGTGAGGACTGAGGAGCTCTCTCTCTCTCCCAGAATGGAGAAGGCCCCTTAGAACTCTGTTGACAACCCCCAGAAGAGAAGGGGTGGACAGGACTGACTTCCCCTGATGGTGAGTACATTAATCTGAGAGGTGCAGCCTCAGGTAAGCAGAGAGCTGAATCCCAGGCCCTGAAAAGAATCAGAGTAAGATGCTGAGTAGGGACTGGGGGTATCACACACTCTAGAACAGCGGTTCTCAACCTTCCTAATGCCACGACCCCTTAATACAGTTCTTCATGTTGTGGTGACCCCCAACCATAAAATTATTTTCGTTGCTACTCTATAACTGTCATTTTCCGATGGTCTTAGGTGACCCCTGTGAAAGGGTCATTTGACCCCCAAAGGGGTCGTGACCCACAGGTTGAGAACTGCTGCTCTAGAACAATAAGGGCCCCACAGAGCCCTTTCCCTGTTGTCAGATCAGGTAGGCCCTGGCATAGTTGTCAGACTTTAGTGCTTTCTGACCGGTGCTGGGAGCCTGAGGGCCATTGTCTCAAGTTAGCAGAGAGAGACAGAGAGGTGTCTCAGGCTTTATCAAGGTCAAAGTCATGACCCTGAGTGAGGATTGAGGGGATCACACACATCAGAACAACAGAGCCCCAACAGACACCTGCTGTCCTCTGTCATCTCTGGGCAGCCCAGGCAGGTATGGCCAAATGAGTGGCCCCTCACTTCCTTCCCCTCAGTATTTGTCACTCCTGTGACTTTCCTAGCTAAGAGGTTCTGAGAAAAGCTGTCAGTCTGAGGCACCCCCGGTTTCTTTTTAACTCATGTCTCAAGGAGATTAAGGCCACTGAGAGAAGAGCCCCAGATACTCCCTGGGGTCACAGTGAGGATGCTGACCAAAGACAGAGGGGACCACCCACTCCCAAAACAGAAATGATCACACAGAGCCTGACTCCATCTGCTCTGTTACCAGTTCTGGGTAACCTTGGGTTGGGTTGGCTGAATGCACCCTGAAGAGCCTTCTCACATCCTCCTTCACCTTCTTACAGGTCAGGACAGGAGATCTGAAAGCTCTAGAGCAGTGCCCTCAGGAGAAGATAGGTAGGCACTGCTCATCACAGTTTACCAGATGAAGCCACTCACATCCTCCCTTTCTCCTTAGGTCGTGGTCTCCCGTCATCCACCCACCTGTCTACATTCCTGACTGCTACCACCACCAAGAGTGGGCATGTCTCAACGTCAGAAGATTCCATATTACACACAGGAACAACACCATGCCTACAAGAAGACCCAGGGCCTAGAGGTTGCACAGGTCTCCAAGGCTCTGGAGGAAACCCATCTCGCCTCACATCCTCTAATGCCTGGAAATTCAAAGGAGGCTCTGGCTGCTGGGACACCCAGTACCTCACAGAGTCCTCAGAGGGCCTACTCATCTAACAGTGTCATCACAGTCACCTCATCAAGGAAATCAGATGAGCCTTCTGACAAACAAAGAAAGAAGAGATGTTTAGCTTCTTCAAAATCCCTGCCAGACAATGACACTGAGGACTTGACTTTAGAGCCTTTAGATGAGAAGGCAACTTTGCTGCTGCAGTTCCTGCTGCACAAGTATCAGATGAATGAGCCCATCACAAAGGCAGACATGATGGATGCTGTTATCAAGGAGGACAGGGATGCCTTCCCTGAGATCCTCAGGAGCGCCTCTGAGTACATGGAGCTCGTCTTTGGCATTAAGGTAGAGGAAGTGGACCGCACTGGCCACTGCTATACCCTCGTCAACAAACTTGGCCTCACCTATGATCCAAGGCTGAATGGTGAACAGGGCATACCCAAGACCAGCCTCCTGATGTTTATCCTGGGCGTGATCTTCATCAGGGGCAATCGTGCCACTGAGGAGGAGATCTGGGGAGTGCTGAATACGGCGGGCTTATATTCTGGGAAGGAGCACTCCATTTTTGGAGAGCCCAGAAAATTCATCACCAAAGAGTTGGTGTGGGAAAAATACCTGGAGTACCAGCAGGTGCCCAACAGTGATCCTCCACGTTATGAATTCCTGTGGGGTCCAAGAGCTCACGCTGAAGCCAGCAAAATGAAGTTGCTGGAGTTTTTGACCAAGATCCATCAGTCTGACCCCACCTGCTTCCCATCCAAGTTTGAGGAGGCTTTGAGAAATGAAGCAGAGAGAGGCTACACTATAGCTGTAGCCAGGGCTGGCACCACTGCCGGGGCAGGGCAAGCTTCAGTGCCACACCCAGTAGATCCTCCCACTGCTAATGAAGTCTGAGTCAGATTCCTCACTTTGTTTTTGAAGAGGGAAGTCAACATTTCAAATAATGGAAGGCTGAAGGAGGAATAAACAGAAAACAGTGTATAACATCTGTGTGTGCCTATTCTATGTGGGTGACTTGGAGATTTATCTTTTTTTTGGTGGGGAGGGAGTTAGTTTTCAAGTGCTGTTCCTTTAAATATAACATTTCATTAAGCTTCAGAATCTAAGTTTATGAATGACATTGGTCATACATTCATTGCTGTTTATGAAACTTAAGAACACACGTTTTGCTTCTGTTGTGTTTCACAACACACATTGTGACACTGACAAACTTATTTTATGTTCTGGAAAAGATAACATGACTCTCAAATAGGCATTACCTTGGAATTGCCAAAGAATTCAACAGTAAAATAGTTGAGATTAAGAAAAAAAACCCTCAAAGATGGTCAATTCTTGGCTTCCATTATCCCTTTTAATCTGCCATACTGTAAAGTTAAATGACATATACGAGGTATGATAAAAAAAAACCAAAAACAAATGGTGAATGTTTAAATAAAAGAATTATTACAGTAAAAGACACATTGCCATTAATCCCCCTCAAAATACCCCCCCCTCACTTCAAACACACTTATCCCATCATTCTTGCCACTTTCTGAAGCAGTTCTGGAAGTCCTCTTTCGTGAGTGTCTTTAGTTGTGCTGTTGTGGCTGCCTCAGTGTCCTGAATCATTTTGACTTTAGGGAAGAGCCAGAAGTTGCACAGTGACAGATCCGGTGAATAAGGTGGATGAGGATACAACATAATGTTTTCATTTGACAGGAATTTCCATACCAGAAGCGATGTGTGACACAGAGCATTGTCATGATGGAGGATGATTTAGGGCACACTTTGAAACACACCTTCTCTCAACCGTAGCTCACACCTGACTGACTGCACCAAACAAGTTGAAACTTGTCACTCACTGTTACTAAGGTTCAATACGCTGCTTCTCATATTGAAGATCCCTGCCTTTCCACTAGATGGCACTTGGCAGCAGCATTCACCGTATTTTGTGATCACAATGGACAGGCTCCACGTCATCGCTTCTGGTACAACAGTTTCTGTCAAATAAAAACATTACTGTGTGTCCTCATCCACCTTATTCACCGGAACTGGCACTGTGCGACTTCTGGCTCTTCCCCAAAGTCAAAATGATTCAGGACATTGAGGCAGTCATGACAGCACAACTAAAGACACTCACGAAAGAGGACTTCCAGAACTGCTTCAGAAAGTGGCAAGAGTGATGGGATAAGTGTGTTAGAAGCAAAGGGGAGTATTTTGAGGGGGACTAATGGCAATGTGTCTTTTACTGTCATAGTTTTTTTTTTTAATTTAAACATTCACCACATTGTTTGATCACGTCTTGTGCTTCCATTTGCTTGCCTATTTAAGAATGTATGAGAAATAAATCTTAATAAATTAGACTTCATATACACTGGCTCACTTATTCCCAAAACATTAATTCAGTATGTGCTCTTTGGAAAGTACTGGGCTAGTATTGGGGATGCTAGGATAAACAAGACTCACTATTCACCCATAGAATTGGAGAGTCTGGGAGCAGGAATCTCGTAAAAGAAAATGTCAAAAGAAGTCGTGGGTGGGGTGAGGAATCCATATGAGGACAGTGAAGTGTAAAGGTCCTGAGACAAGGCAGACTAATGCCTTGGGCAACTGTAAATCCTCCAGTGGAAGATCATTTTATTTTTTATTTTTATTTTTATTTTAAAATTTTTATTGGTGAATTGGGGGGATGGGAACAGTGCTGGGGAATTGGGGGAAGGGGGACAGACAAGTTGCTGTCGTTTTGTTCTTCAGTCTAGTTGTGGAGGATGTTGCTTCACTGGCCCAAGTTGGCACCATCATTGCGCTCTTCCCGGGCAAGGCAGATCAGTCGCCGGCTTCTGGACGGCCTCTCATTGCGGCTGCTGGCCGCTCACGCTGGCTGCTGGCTACACACGGTAGCCCATGGCAACCCACTGCCACAGGGACTGCAGCCTACGCCGTCGCCGGCGACTCATGGCAGCCCAGCTCCAGGTTGAGCTGATGTTCAGCATCTTAGCTGTGGAGGGCAGTGTCACTGGCCCTCATATGTGGGATCCGAACCGGGGCCCTCTGGCATCCCAAGCAAGTTCTTAACCATCGCGCCACTCGGCCGGCCCAGTGGAAGATCATTTTAAATTGAACTGTATGGTACACCAGAAGAGGCTGTGAGAGTGGTGAGCAGGGGCCAGACCCTCAGATAGTGGGTCTCAGAGTTGAGTCTTGAGTCTGCAATGGAAAACTGTTTTTAGCAATTACTTTGGGATCATGGGCAAGCTAGATCCCACCTGGGACAAGAATGGAAGACATCCTGCATTCTTGTCCAAGTGCAGTTGAATACGGTGCACAAATTTGGTGTTTTATGAAGATTTTGTGAGAAATAAGGGTGATACCTTCTTGAGGTAAGACACCTGGAAGCCACTGTGCTGGCACTCTTTGCCCTGGGCTGGGAGATTCAGAGCCTGCACCATTCAAGGGACATTTTAAATAGGTTATGTTCAATATAATTTGGCAAACTAAGCAAGGCCTAGATTTTTTTTGGAGGGAATGTTGGAAACGGCAACTGGGAGGGAAGGAGTTGGTCCTTGATAAAAATTCTAAGATATTTGAGTTGCATTCAATTGGTAAGTAGCCCCCTAAGCCCAAATTAACTAATATATTCTGTAATAGGGAAGCAGTCTGGGTCTCTTGAGTCACCTGGTAGCAAAGATCCCCTGCCAAATCACATCAAATTTTATGTGCACAAGAAATAAGCTTTTGTTGTGTTAAGCTATTCAGATGTTAGGTTTTATGTTTTGCATCAGTTAGCAGTTATTTTATCTAACTAATAAGCAGGTACTGTTTTAAAATTTAAGCTTATTTTAGAATTTTAATGACAAAGCTAATAATAGTGCATATATTCTTGTTGCAAATGTTTCTAACATACATGAATCTATCCCCTCCGATCACAATGTTCTTCCAGAATTAAGCATTCTCCTCAGAGGTAACTGCAATAAAAATTATATGATGTGTATTATTTTAAAGATAATTTTAAGCTTTGTAACACGTACATGTGCTATAAAAATATATTGTGATTTTTTTCACATAATGGGTAGTGATGTACATATTGTTCTCCCATTTGCTTTTGTCACTTAATAAAATGAATGCAGCATCATTCCATGACAACACATATAAATCCACTCATTATTTTAACTACTCTCTAGGATTCTAAAGCATGAGTTCTCCAGAATAATTTAACTATTCTCCTCGTGGACACATAAGTAGTTCGCATTAGTTTCTATGGTTAATAGAACAGAAATCAACATCTTTGGACATCAGTTGTTATGAAGTGTGTGCGTAAGAAACACATGGCAAACAGAAATTGGGATAAAGTGGGTATGAAATTGAGTATGAAAATTGTAAGTTTTTATAAATATTGCCCAAATATCATCCCACAAATCTATCAATTCATATTCTCACAAATTAATGTGTATAAATACCCCACACTCTTCACATTTTGTTTTTTCCATCATTTAGCTTTTAGTCAAACTTATATATTAAAAAATGTCTCATAGTTTATTAGTATTTCCCTGTTTTCCAGTTAGGGTTAGCACAAAATTAACTTCTTGCCCATATAAAGTTGGATTTCTGCAATGATGTTCTGAGTCGCATGATTACTCTGAACATGCTTTAAAATTCTGGCGTCAATTATATAGATATTTTCCTTTTACATTGAGAAGCAAAGATTTGGTTAGAATGACCGGGTGCCAGAGACTGGGGTCAGAAAGGACACTCAGCTAGTGAGGGGCATGAGGCGGATGGCAGGGGAGAGAAATTTCCAGAATCCATGAGAGAGACCCCCCCAGCAAAACCAAGCCCAGAGAGCTTAGGGCAGGCTGGAAGGCCGAGATCTGAATCTAGAGTTCAGCATCATGTAGAGAAGTGACCGTAAGGATCAGGGCAGGGCATCCGGGAACACTTACATGAATAGGCTTGAAAAATTTTGGACTCACCTCTACCAGCTGGAAATTGTCAAGTCATCTAAGTGGGCAGGTCTAGTGGATGAAACAACACAAGGCATATCAGACATCCTGCACTACCTTAGAATTCTCTCTACATATTGTCAAGCAGAGTACAGCTGGTACCTCTGTATCACCTAGTGATGCTATTGATGGATTCCAGGAGAGCCACATTTCTTGATGACCCTGGGCATCCAGTGTACCCTTGCCAACGTCCTTGGCCTGGGAGCTATCTTTAGGTCACCTGGAGACAGATATTTCTTACCTTATATACAGTGGAACCCCTTCACTTAGGTTGGAGCTTTGTGAATGGGTGAGGTTAGTGAGTGATGACAGTTGAGACAGGCCAGAAGTACCATGAGTAGCGGAAGGGGATATACAGCAGCAAGGAGGGGGAAATTGGAGGGGAATGCCTTAGGAGTTTATTTACCTATGGGTAAAGGGCTAGGTGTGGACATGTCTGGAAAAACAATCCAGATGGTGTCCCTAAACTCGGGCTGCCTTCTCACAATTCCTGAATTTTTGGCACTTGTGAGGTAGGTGTCCTGGGGCTGTGTTTGTCACCACATACTGCCTGGGATGGGGAATTGGGCCAAGGAGCAGACATTTTCAGGATGTATGGTGAGCTGATGGAGATGACACACTTCCTGGTTAAGCTCACAAGGGATGATGGCGATGTGTGGGGTCCAATGAGGCAAGCATGATATACCATACTGTTGCCTGCATCTCTACCTCCAAGATGAGGCTGTGAGGGTCTGGGAAGGAGACATCGATGATCACATTCTCAGTGGTAGTTCCTCATGAGAATTCATGGAGGTAGAAGACCCTGCCAGGGATTATTTTAAATCTTAATGTTACCTCTGGTATTTTGATTGATTGACTCATTCATTCATTCATTTTCATTTATTCACTCATCCAGCAAGCACTTATTGAACATAT